TTGAGCTGAGTGTTGTGGTGCACACCTGTAATCCCAACACTCCATGAGGCTGAGGCAGGAGGATCAGTGCGAGTTTGGGACCAGCCTGGGCTACAAAGTGAGCTCAAGACTAGCCTGAACTGCATAGTGAGACTCTGTCTCAAAAAGACAGACAGACGGACAGACAGATATAGATAGTATTTTGGAAAAAAATAGATACACGACTGTAATCTCAGTACTCGGGAGGCTGGAGCAGGATGATATAAGTTTGATGCCAGATTGTGCTACATAATGAGTTCAAGGCAGCCTGAACTACACAAGGAATCCCTGTCCAAAAAAAAATGTAAGAAAAACCAGATTTCAGGATGTGTTACAGGTATCCAATACAAATTAGGGGGGCTGGGGATTTAGCTCAGCGGCAAAGCGCCTGCCTGGCAAGCACAAGGTCGTGAGTTCGGTTCCCGGTACCGGAGAAAAACCAAAAAAAAAACCAAATTAGGGTTCCCTTTTAAGAGTCAAAAAACATTATAACCCACTTTAAAAAATGAACACATGCATAAATTTTCAGGGGTTTACGACCTTCTATACCCATTCATGGACTACTGCTACGCACTTTAACATGCAGAGAGGTAATTAATCGAGTTCACAAAAGATAGCTTTTTTGTACGTTAGGGCCCACTGCATTACAAGGCAGGAAGATGGGGCTGGGGCTGTAGCTCAGGGGTAGAGCACGTGCCTGGCAGAAGCCAGTCCCCATGTGCCATCTCCAGTGCCAAGAGAGGAAAAGAAAACAAAAACAGAAGTTTTCCTCTTTGGTCTTGAGTTTTTTCAAAATGTAGGGTTCAGGAATGTTATTTAACAAGTCGGTGTGATGTGACGGGAATCATCGAGTATCCAGGCATCCAGTTCCCACTCTGCCAGCTACATAAATTGTGGGATGACTGGACATGTTACTAAATCAATTGAAGTCCCAGTTTTCCATTTGTAAAAATGAGAATACATAACTGTAAGAGGAGTCATTTAGATAGCAAATATGAAAGAAGGAAGGATGGCGGCGGGCGCATAGCAGGAACACAATAAAATGCTAGCTCATAAAAGGGAAAAAGAGCAACACAGTCGGCTGGAGACCTGTAAAATCTAATCTGGCTCAACTTCTGGCTATATGACCATTTTCTCCTAAGAGACGGGAAGTCAGCACCTGGCTCTTAGTTATAGCTGCAGACAAGTAAAAACTCAAGACAGAGAACAGAGGGAAAGTGAAGAGAAGCAAAAATAGATTTCTAATGGCGAGGCTGAGGTCAAGAAGAGTGTATTTTACTCATATATCTTTTAAGGTCAATAAAGCTCTTAGGAGATAATACTGTATAGAAGAATATCTTCTTGACCTCAGGAGAGGAAAAGAGTCTTAAAATAAGACACAAAAAGCCCGAACCATAAAGAAAAGACCAATAACTTTGACTCCAATAAAATTAAGAACTTCTGCTCATTAAAGGACATCAAAAAGACACGCAAAGAGGCAAGGCTGAGGAACTGAAGAATCTGCAACACACACACAGGACAAAGGACCTGTACTCACAGAAAACAAAAAACTTCTGAATACCGACAAAGACACAAGGGCCAATTAAAAGTGTGTGTGGTGAACTTTAAGAAGAAGGAGACACGAATGGCTAATAAAACATGAAAGAGCTGTTCAGCATGATTACTAGTCAGGTAAATGCTGGAGGGAACATAACCTGGTACAAAACTTTGGAGAACAGTTTGACTGGTGGAATAATCAATGAAGAAACGCAGACCTATGATGAGGGTGACCCCATGAGCATCCAAACACAGAAAATGAGAACTAAGGATGCTGTAAAGGGGCTGGGGGTTTAGCTCAGAGACACAGAGCCTGCCTGGCAAGGGCAAGGTCGTGAGTTCGATCCCCGATACCGGAAAAAACCCAAAAGACCAAAAAAAAAAAAAGAACGCTGTAAATACCATGGGACAAGGTAATTAGGGTAAACGACCATCCTGCCTAGGAACTAACTAACGACTGCTTTCCTAGATGTGCACCTCGGAGAAGGTTGTGCACCTGGGCACCACACGCCATGTAAGGGATACTCAAAGCAGCTTTGCTCACTGTTGCCCCAAACTGGAAACTACAATATCCAACATCAGTGGAATATACAACCCCGAAATTAGGTTGTACTGTTTCTCCAGTCTACTAGAAAACTCCAGTCAGAAGATTGCGGGCATCCTACAAAAAGGTGCTCAGGAAATGCAAATTAAGGTATTATAAAGAAGAAATATTCCTTTATCCCATTCTCCCATCCACGTATCACCATTCTGCAAACACTGACCACTGCGAACACTGACCACCACAGCACACACGTTCCCACTTTTCATAACATTCTTTCCTATTCTCTCAATACAAATGCAACCATTGTCTATGTATACATGGAAAACCAGGTTAACCTTAGAGAACCACAGAACTGAGAACCACATCACTTAGTCTTGTTCTAATTGGCATATGGAAGTTAGTAAGAGCTTCTCACTCATTAAAATTACTTATCAGAGGCCCAGAATGGTAGCCTATGCCGGTACACCCAGCACTCAGGAGGCCGAGGAAGGAGGAGCACTTCAAGTCTGAGGCCAGCCTGGGCTACAAAATGAATTCAAGGCCAGCCTGAACTGCATAGCAAAACCTGTCTCAAAAAAGACAAAAAAGGGGGGCAAGGGATTTAGCTCAGCGGCACAGCACCTGCCTGGCAAGCTCAAGGTCATGAGTTCGATTCCTGATACCGGAAGAAAAACAACAAACGAGAGAGACCAAAAAAAAGGATTACTTATCAAACTTCTTCCATTACTCACCCTATTTACCTTTCATTCACATTACACCTCCCACCTGACAGGTTCCAATCTCCCTTCACAAAAAATGCATGAAATGAACACATGCTCTAAGGGCAATGACATAATATCCACTCTACTTAAGAGCCAGGCATGACGGGCAGGCAAAACTTCCGAACACCATCACTATGAGCCAGTCATCCGAAAGCACCGTAGCCCAGGCTAGCTTGGAGCTCCCAGCACTCCTGCCTGAGTGCCGGCATTTCAGGTGTGCACTGAGGTAAGAATTTTATCCTTTCTGAAATAGGCGATGTTGTCTGTTGTTTGTGGTTTTTGTTCAGTACTGAGGACTGAACCTAGGGCCTGACACACACTAGGCACACATTTTACCCTTAGCTACATCCCTAGCCCTGTTTTTTTTTAAAACAGGATCTCACTAAATTGCCCAGGCTGGCCTTGAACTTGGGGTCCTCCTGCCTCAACTTCTCAGAGTAACTGAGATTACAGGGGTGCATCACTGCAGGAAGCCCTCTCCTTCTTAAAAGCCAAAAACAAGCCGGATGTGGTGCCACAAACCTGTAATCCCAGCACCTGGGAAGCTGAGGCAGGAGGATCCCCAGGAGTTCAAGACCAGCCTAAGCTACATAATGAGTGAGACCCTGTCTCAAAAAAAAAAAAACACTTCAAATAATAATTTTGATACATGTGTAAGAAATTTATGAGTATGAAAAAAAAGTAAGTTTTATTTCAGGGTTATGCCAGAAAATCTAGGATACAGAAGTAAGACAGAGCAGAAATGTATTTTTTTTTTAAGAAAAAACTTTATTGGAACACCACAGAACAAACTATCCTGACATAACTAATTCCCATTTGCTACCTCCACTCCTGATCATACACGGTCTTCAAGTACCTAATTTACCTTGCCTTTCCTGGTACCTTCACCCCAAATACACTTCAATTCACTTTTCCTATTTCCCACATCTATAATCTTTTCTCGATTCCCCTTCATAATCTTTAAGACTCCAACATGCCAACACCCTCTCCCAACTGCAGGGCTTCGGGTCCTTCACAGGGCACTTGCAATCTGGCCTGGCCTGTCTTCCCCCCTCAGTTCCCCCACTCCTTGCACTCTGCCCGTACCAAAGTACCAGCAAATTCTAAGATATACAACATCCTTTCCCCAGGTAGCCTGGCCTTTTCCTGAGGAACTGGACACCCCGCCTCCTGCGCTGTCTTCAAGACTCGAACTCAAGTTTCACCCGGGCTGGGGACAACTGTCTCCCGAATGAACACCTTTCTTGGCCCCTGCCCACGCCGGACACAGTTCAGCCCTTACCTTCGCGGGGACCTGTGGCCCAGTCCCGCCCGCGGTCTCCGCACCTGCAACCTCCGCCCCACCCTCCGCCCTAGGAGATTTTCTATACAGGTATGCTTTGCAAGTTGGATGCAGCCTCTCCGTCCTCCCTTCACTTGTTAGTCCACGTTGCTGTCTTAACATCATTTTAAAAAACACTCCCAAACACAAGCATTCCACCCCCTTCCTACTCCAGGCTGCAGTTTCACCCAGACAGGTGTTTCCCATCACAGCAGGTGGACCTGCGGCACGGGTCAGGACTCCTCCCGACGCAGCACCTGCTCCGCAAAGCGCCCCCCGCCCAGGCCACACGCACCACGCCCAGGCCACCCTCACGCCGCCCCAGACACTCCGCCCTCCGCCCTCGCTTCACCTGCCCTCCCAGCCCTGCGCCCGGGTCTGCACCTCCGAGACGGCATCCCTCCCTCCTCTCCCTGCGGCTTCTCCTTCCACCCCTCCAGCGTCCCCTCCCTGCTACCCACCGCCAGGCCGCCCCGCACCCTGGCCGGCCCCCCACCATTCCCACCAGTTGACTCCCTCTCAGGAAGCCCCTCCCCGCCCACGCCTGCCGATCCGCAAGCCCCGCCCCCACAGACTTAGCCCCGCCCTCCTCCGAGTCCCGCCCCCTGCCCCGCAGGCCCTCCGGGGGCGGGGCCTATCCCTCCTCCCCTTTCCCCCGCCCCCTACCGTCACGCTCAGGGGCAGCCTGACCCCACGCGGCCCCGCGGTGACCCTCGCGCAGAGGCCTGTGGGAGGGGCGTCGCGAGCCCGCGACCCCCCTGGAGATCCCCCTCCTGCCCAGTCTCCTCCCCCGTGGGAGCGCGCGGGGTGGGTGACAGACCTGGCTGCGCGCCACCGCCACCTCGCCTGCCGGGGGCGCTGCCGCTGCCTGAAAAAGAACCCGCGGCTGCCGCCTGGAGGTGGTGCCGTCGCCTCCGCCACCGCTGCCGCCGCCGCCAGGGGTAGGAGCTAAGCCGCCGCCATTTTGTGTCCCCCTGTTGTTGTCGTTGACATGAATCCGACATGACACTGATTACAGCCCAATGGAGTCTCATTAAACCCGAGCCGCGGCCCCGCCCCGGCGCTGCTCCATTGGACGAAACCACAGACACTGAAGGCCAGCCGTTGGCCTACGCGTCTGTCCGTCAAGCACTCACTAACCACTCCGCAGCCCATTGGGGCAACTTCCTGCCGGTCATCTCGCCTCCACATAGACACACCTCTCGACCCATCATCCCCCCTCCGGCACCACCCCAGGGGAGGGTCCACGTCCAGTTCCAATCACCAGCCCCCTGGGCCCGCCTCTTCCGGGCACCTATTGGTCCAGCCCATTTTCTCTCTCCCAGACACCAAGGCACCTCTACTTCCCCCTCCTCGCCCCTCTGCCTCTAGAAATGGATTGGGTCTACGCACGGCAGAGGCGCTTGGCCTCATTGGCTACAAACAACGCCAATCAGGAGCCTTTTCCCTTTCCCCTCCCCCACTCAACCCCAAAGCCCCTAGCCCGCAGCTAAAGTTTGTGTGAGAGCTGATCGCTGGCGGCGGCCGCAGGATTTAGGGGTGGGCGCGTGCGGGCGGGCACGCGAAGTTAAAATTCGAGGTTCTCAGTCGCCAGCTCCCGCGGTGGAGCGCGCGGACGGGCGCGCCGCCCGGAGCGTTCCATCCCGCCCCCTCCTCCACCCTCTCTCCCGTCCCGTCCCGGGCGACTACTCGCCCGCCCCCTGGCTCGCATCCTCCCCCGCACACACACCCCTACCCTGCAAGCCCCAGGCAGGGTGCAGGCGGAACGCCGTCGCTGCTGCCTCCTCGCCATCCCACGCCGAGGGGGAGCGAGCCCCTACCCGCCGGGCGTGCACACACCACCACCCCCCCCCGGCTCCACACGCCCGTGTTTGCAAGCACGTGCACCGTTCGCAGCTGCCTCCGGCCACCCCGGTCCCCGGCTAACCTCGCCCGCAGCCCGGCCAATCGCTCGCTGCCCTTTGTTGCTGCAGCCCGGGTCTCCCCGCTGCCTTCCTCAGCCTCCGCCTCGTCCTTTGCCAGCCGCCCGGGTCCGCAGCGCCGCGCTCCCCCCGCCCGGGACCCACCGCCGCCGCCTCCTTCTCCTCCTCCGCCTCCTCCTCCTCCTCGGC